ACCAGTGCGGGCAAGGCGCCTGCGACTTGATGAAAATTCTCCGTTAGAAAGCAGTTCAACGACTTGACGAATTATACTAGACAATTTCCTGGGCGACAGTGGTGGAATCGCTTCGTTACAGGAGCCAAAAGCTCTGCGGTACAATTGCTGTTTGTGTTTATTTTATTCGTCTCTCTGATTCTTCAGCTTTGACATCATTCGTTCAAACATCGAATGGTGCATAGCCCCTTATGGATACCTCTTTTTGTTATATACGATCATGGAACGATAGAGCTTAACAGACTATTATTTATGCGGTTAAAAATCAGCCAGCCTGGCTTGTCTCAGAACTCTTAGTAGATCGGGATTTGTCAGCCATTCACTTTGTTTCTTGGCTTGTTAGGTCTTTCTGCAAGACCCATAGCCCTTGCGTGGCCTTCGCAGCATGGGCATCTTGCTAAACAATGTTAAGTATCTAGTTCCTTCGTTCGTTTCGTTGTCTCATCCAAATAACACCTTGCAACAATTGCTCCGTGATACCAAAAATGTGTGAAAAACAGCTGGTTTCCTAAAAGGAATGCGAGTGGCTTCGTCTTCGAGACTTCTTGCTCAGGATCGCATCTCGCTCTTCGCGCAACGTGATCCAAACCCAGAACCATGTCATTGTTTCGATAAAGATGAATGTAAAGAATAGACGGTTCTTTAGCATGTCACCGCCCCAGCCAGCAGGGCGATATGATGGGTTATACGAGCTCGGGTGTGAGAGGTGGCTGCGAGAGGACTTGTCGTACATGGGAGACGATGGGCCAAAGAGAAATATGTACACGACGAAACCGAGGGACAGGAACGATCGCAGGGGAGCTGTGTGGCAATTAGCGTCCATCATGAGAAGAAGTCGGGCATAGGATGCCAACCTTGTGTGCCCCAGTGGAAGATTAGGCAGACTTCGTCGGGCATGGATAGGGATACCAGATCACTAAAGCCGATAAAGACGAGGACAGCGGCGAGGAACGCGAGTGGAGGACTTTGCAGTTCAAACCCTCTTGCTAGAGGCTTTATCATGAGTCGAGTCAGCTTAACCGGCTTCGGAAACGTCGCGACCAGCAGTCATGATGTGAAGGAGACTCACCATTCCCATGCTTTCTCCCAGCATGAAGACAAGCGCTTGCTCATTGATGGAGCTTGGGTTGGTGATGAAGAAGTATGCGAGCGTCAGATGGAAAAGCGAGACAGATGTTATAATCGTTTTGGCAGATATGAGCGCCATCGTTGCGTTTTGCTCCCTCTGGGGATGGTTGTCTCGATGTACTTGGCTCGTCTGTAGACTGTAGGTATCGCGTGCGTCGTCGGATGAAGCTTGCACAAGTCGCAAAAGGAGGGGAAACTGGCGGCAGAAAACGAGGGGCTCAAGAGGCCAAGAAGAAGTGATCTTGCGCTTAAAGGAATGGAAAGCAGAAAGCCCAGCTGGAAGGCGTACTAGCACTTGATCAACTTCAGGTCACGCTGAACAGCTGTTGTGAAAACTAGCAGCCAGGGGTTATGCCATGCGTCACCCGCGCATGATGCCCTGGCTTTCCTGGGCATTTGCGGGCCGCTAATCGCGGCTAGCAAATTGGATCCGATTGCAGGAGGGCTTCGTGGCGTCGCAGGACAGCATTTGCTGTGGCGGTGATTGTGGCTGAAACTTCAATGCCCTTGTTTGGATTTGACTCCACCTTCTCACTCAATCTCGAGCTCGAGCTCAAGCTGTGAGCTTTGTTGGTAGGACTCGAACATGCATGCACCATACCGAGCAGTACACACTTTGACCAATTTTAACTAACACATTCGCCCTGCACACCGGGGAAACATACGACTATAAGATCGGGCGTATATTTTTCTGAAATGTCGGAAGCGGGTAGTCCCTTGCTGGATAAGCAACAGCACATCAAATATTGGCAGCGCTGTCATAAAACATACCTCCCATCCCCTTACACAGCCTACGACTCGACCCGCCTTACTTTCGCTTGCTTCATTATTTCGGCGCTCGACATTCTGTCTGTTCCGCTGACCCATACTGAACGTGGTGCTATCCGTCGGTGGGTTCTCAGTCTGCAGCATCCAGAAGGGGGCTTTTGTGGAAGTTCAACGCACGCATTACCAGGTCAAGAAGCTTACAAGGGCACGGCAAATATTGCAGCCACCTTCTTTGCACTTGTACTGTTGGGCCTGGCAGCCGATGGTGAGGATGAGGCGAGGTCAGCTTTCAGCGGGGTGGACAGAGTACGGTTATTGAAGTGGCTGAACAGACTTCAGAGAAAGGATGGGAGTTTCGGTCAAATTTTATGGGGCGAAGAGATTGTCGGTGGCAGAGACATGAGACACAGCTATCTGGCGAGCTGTATTCGATGGATGCTGAGAGGAGATGTTAGGGAAGACGATGAGGCCTGGGTGAAGGATTTGAACATTGATGAAATGATTGCTCACATAAAGAGAGGCCAAGTACGTTATGCTTGCTTGAGCGATGCCGTCTCACTAACACTTATTAGACATATGACGGTGGAGTGGCAGAATCGTCGCAGCACGAATCCCATGGTATGGTCTCTTGACTCGTTGCTTGCTCACATAACTCACCTCTCTAGCTGGCTATGCATACTGCGCGATAGGTGCGCTGTCACTCTTAGACAGACCGCTAGACTCGACATCGCCGCATCCTCCCGAGGAGGCGCTGAAACGGGGCGTTCCGAATCGTGAGGGACTTCTACACTTCCTCGCCTCTCGGCCTTTCGCCTACCTCGCCGAGGAAGAGGAAGAAGATGAAGTTGAGGAAAACTTCCTCGAGTCAAAGGCTGGCGAGATCGATCTCGGTCACATCGGATTCAACGGTCGATGGAACAAGAAGGCCGATACGTGCTACTGTTGGTGGGTTGGCGGTACGCTTGCAGTAAGTTTCCCATGCCTCCTTGCACAGAGCACAGCTCTCACACGTCTCATAGATGCTAGGGAATTCTACCATCATCAACGTCATTCCTTCACGACGATACCTCCTTGATATCACACAACATCGCATTGGCGGGTTCTCCAAGTCCGTAGGAGGGCCTCCGGATATGTACCACTCGTACCTCGGTTTGGCTGCATTGGCGACCATGGGCGACAATGATCTAAAAGAATTCGACGTGGGCCTATGCTGCAGTCAAGAGACGACCAGAAAAATACAAAAGGCAAGGGAGGGACTAATAGAGAGCACGAGAGGGAATCGGAAAGCCTGGTGTGACGATGGCTTCTGGTAGATCTTATATCGAACAGCGCCTATAGCATTGACTATATATAATGCAATTCACTGCTTCAATCGGCAAGCAGAATAGAGATTGCGAGTTTTTGTATGCAAGACTTTGGTCCTGTTTCCATGTCGCTTAATTACCCATTCCGAAATGTAAGTGCTTGTCAGGGATAAGTTTGTTACCCTTTTGGCTACCGAGATCATCCTTGACCGGTTGTTGTGTAACTAAACCTATTCCCAAACTCAAATTTCGATACCAGCTTCATTGCAGACTTCCGGAACCTGGACATCAGCGCTTTTAAATATGAAGTTCCTGATGGTGGAAATAATCTCTATATGCAGTTCAATAATAAGTTGGCTTTAGGGTAAGCGATTTATGAATATGACATCATGAGACAATGAAACAGCATCCAGACCTACCTATGTAAATCAGTTAGGCACACAACGATACCTTTGTTGGTCTTCTTCTATCTGTTGTTGCGGCACTGAATATGGGCCGATCTGCAACTCAATTCCTATAACTTGATTCACCAAATGGTATTTGGATTCGGACTTTGTAGCTTTCCTTTGGCTACCGTTTTGAACGGGTCGCCAATCATCACTAACCGCTTTAGGAACCGTTCGGCCCCGCCTTAGCTTTGTCGGATTGAATCATCTAAACCATCCCGCGATTTCCAATACTCCCATCGCTCCCCCCAAACTACACCGCCATGTCCTCTTCACCAAAAGACACAGCCGAGACCACTGAGCCTCCGAAGTCGAGCGACGCCGATACACAACCTTGGAACGAAGACAAACGACGGAAGTTCGAAACGTCAGCGAGCCCACCACTCGTAAACGACCGGGACACTAACGAGGCGTAGGAAATCCAAGAGCGAGTTCTACGATCCGTGCCAAGAGGCTGCGCAAAGAAGCTATAGATGCTTGTTCAGGAACGGAGGCGATAAGAATATGTGTGGAGAGTATTTCCAGTATGTTGCTTGGGATCGAGCAATCGGGGCAAGTGTTGACAATTGAACAGGGCATATCGCGACTGCAAACAAGCATGGGTATGTTATACGATGCTACAGCTGAAGAGAATAACCGAGACTCATCATTCACGCAGACTGATAAACGGAAAAAGGAAGGCCGCGGCTGGTTCTAATGGGGTCATTCGCTCTCGACAGCCTGCGTTGACCTGCTGGATCCAGCCTGGCTGAGCATCTTGACTGACGACAGAGGCACCATTGTAACATTAAGGGGAGTTCATATACTGTACAATACGGAAGCGCGGTGTAACATTCTGTTATCTTTATCAAACAAAAAGTCTGATCTCACTTCGGTGCAAGCGTCTTTGAGAAAACCCCAATCCACCTCGGCTGACAGGCTGCAACTCTCATTTTAGTCACAGGATCGTCACCAATTGGTAGGGCATTGACTTTCTGATCTACATCTCTATATCTCGAGGTATCTCAAACTTCTACCGCTATTCTACACCGATGGGAACACAGCTACTGTTGAGATCCAAAGACGTCCCAATCACTGTTTGCCAGGTTTCACGACTTACGTGCACAGGCTGAGTGCCTGGGTTCTAAGATTGTTTAAGCACAAACAGAGCTGTCATCATATGGTAGATAGGTGGATGATGGCTCTGTCGTTGGGGAACGAAGGACAAAGAGCTGCACAAAATGCATGGTTGTTCAATTTAGGGACTGCATCAACACTGAATGTACCAAAAAGTCTGCCCCGTCATTCTATCAGAATCCCCCCAACTTGATAGTTGTCAGTCGTGTGGTCGCGAGATTTGTCGAAGGCGGATCCCTAGAGCATACAGACCCGTTGCACTATCCAAACGGGCGTCGGGCTCGTACTGAAACCGAGCCTCATCTGCACACTTGTTCAGCCTTGTGGCGTGCCAGGTTGAGCACTCTTCAAACACCTGCTTATCCAAAGCCACTCCAACATCAGCTGTCAATCGGATTGGAACCAACATTCTGCCACTTCTAAGCGAGTATACCTTCCAAGAATTGAGGGTGAGCCCAATCGTCAACGCGCATGCTGTTCCCAGTGTCGCAAGTCCAGACATGAGAATCCACGGAACAAATGTCATTGCGTATTCATCAATGTTGGACTGCACTTGATATCTCTCAGCCCTTACGGCTTTGTCATTGTCAAGCGGCACTTGACGGGCCTCTATTTCGTACCATAGGAAAGCATCAGCAAGGGTTTCTAGGCCCCAGCTCTGTCGACTTCCTTCAGTCGCCACTCCCAGTGCCGCTCGAAGCAAGTGTCCGCCGAGCCCGGGCGGTCTCCCATCACGTCCATCGTCAAAGGTACTGAGACTTGCCGTCAAGCTAAGCACCGGCATATCGTGCCCTGCGTCAGGCTTCTCGTCGACAAGAGTGTTCTCGACCATCGACCAGTCACTCCCGTTCACTTTAATATCAGCCCATCCAGTGGATCTGTTTAAACGGCACGTTAACCCTGAAAATCTTAGGCTGTAGTTTGTTTGTCGACCGTCAGGCTGCTCAGTAATGGGGAAACCTTTGGTAAAAGGTATCAAGCTACTCCACCGCTCTGTAGTAACCACTGGGCCACCATCGTGCTCGGAATCCATAACCCCGATGCAAAGAGCGGTCTCGCTGAAGGCAATGAGCGGGTATGTGATCTCTGGGTTTGTGGCTTTAGCTGCATCTACTGCCGACTTTGATACAACAGATTCGTTGGTGCCGAACGTTGCTTCGTATGTGGTTGACTCTGAACCGAGGACTGAAGCTGTTCCCTCAAGGGCAAACCTGAGGTGCGGGTTCCGTTTGTCTGGCCCTATCATTGATACACTTTTTAGATGGGAGGGACTGCAAAGCATTTCAGTCGATAGACGGGCGCGTGAAATAGTTGCATAACGGCAGGAGAAAGCGACGAACGTGATTGATCCGAGACATTGACGCTCACCAGTCCTGTTGTAGATGACTTGAGCATCCCTTGCGGTAGGCGTGAAAGCCTATCTTGAAGTCTTGCTGAAACTTGTTGCTGGATAGACTGGTCGTCCAGGGGTATTGGACGTGAGCCTCCGGGCAGCACCGAATGTGTATCATACAGATATTCAAGCACCTGCGTAGACGTATCCACTCCGGCCTGTTGATATGCCACGGCATTGCCAAGCAACGAGAAACTCAAAGCTGAGAGAACAGCGATCATTCCCAGACACATCACGCGGGGCCTTCTCGAACGGACGAAAGTCTAAAACTTGAGTGGGCTAAAGGACCCCCAGTCTGTGCTGGCAACTTCGACGAGGACCTTCATGCTCACAGCTGAGTTTCTTCCGCTGTGCTCGTTGACAGCAGAAAGACGAGCAAGCTTAAACATATGCCAATTGGCGACCGCGACAACGGCTGGCGCCACGAGGATGGAGAAGGCCGCGTCAATTAGCTTGGCTTCTGTCGACGAGAGATTGCCTCCTACAATGACGGCTGCTATGTAGCTTCTGTCTGTCTTGACTTGGATATATGCGATGAGCCAGCAACTACAGATGAGAGAAGCTGAGCCGATGAACGCAATTATTATCAGGGAGTATAGGACATGTTTTTTGAGAGGGCAGTCCGCGTGTACTGATGCGGCTTCTTCTGTAATCTTATCCTTTGGACTTGGTGCTAGCAGTCCATCGTTGTCCGATTGAGCGCCGCGTTGAGTATCTTCCGGCTTGGGGGTTCCACTTGAAGCGGTGTCAACAGATTCAGGGTCGTCTTCCTCTGTCACTACACTGAGAGGGGATACTGGTCGGTTGGTCATCTCAAAGGACTCAGTTTCTGGCTGGGTTCCCATGTTCATTGGGTAATAAGAAAAAAGCGCTTTGCTCCTCGTCCAAAGGAACGAATACTGCCAATGCGTTTATACGTCTCTATATATGAGAAACTTTTCGTTCGAGCCGCATTTTAGCACCAACCACAAAATGAGGCTCGCAGATGGGTTGTACCATCAAGGCTGAAGCGGTTTAACCATGCTTGTATGTCCCGAGAGCATGACTGAGGTTGGCAAGATTCTTCCACATGATCGCACAAGTGTCTCTGATGACCTATTCCGTATAATCAGTGATACGGGTGAAACCAGGCGATGACAAATGATACTCGGCAGAACCGTTGTGACCAAGGGCTCCTTCGAGCATCGCCTCATTGTTGTGACTTGATAGCATGCGGTAGTGATGCCTGGGCTCGGCCGTTGATGTGATTATTCCGCCATCACCCCCTCGGTCGCCGATATACCCCTTCCTGAACTGCCTTGAAGCCCTATAAATGAGAACGGAGTTTCCGGAATTGTGATGACACGTCCAATTCGGGAGGTATGCTGCATGGTTCCGAGGTTGCTAAGCAAGAGCCAGATCTCAAGTGCTTTGGGTATGATGGAAGTCTCAGTCGTCGGACAAAGAGGCGCATTTTTTCTGCTTTTCCCTCTCCTTCTTATATCGTTGTTCTGCATATTCCTCAGATGAACATTTATGATTGCTCTTGAAGTCTCAATTGAGCATTGGGTCTGCCAATCAGGATGCCAATCTGGATAAGGGCATAGGCACTTGCTGAGTTAAAGCCGACAAACTGTCGCCGCGATCACATTGCGGAAGGCCTGCAACTTTTGCATCTCAATCAACATCGTGTGTAAAGTTGGAATCTAATGCAGGTGGGCGTCCATGTTTGCAGTGCATTGCCCCAGGCTGGTAAAACAACTCAGTCTCAAGTGGTGCCATCACAAATATCCTGGGTACAGTTGAAGACGTCTGGGGAACAGGTAACCACGACTGAGAGAAGTTGATTGAACAAGCAATGACACTGAAAAATTATCCTGTCAGATGTAAGCGCTGTGACTTTGAGAGCACACCTGGGTATAATGCTTTGAGTTCTGGAAACACGCCGTGTTATTTTTGTTGATGCTGTAACAGCGCCAGAGTTTGGGACTACGGGCGACAAAGTTGGTGGTGACGGGATGTGGCGCAAGCTGCACCGCCACGCTTCCACCGCCCCTCCACCTTCCATTCTGTCGCATCCATCCCACTTCAATTTGAGCCCCTCCAAACTCTCACCACGCACTCTCAATAATCCAAGTCGACTTTAGTCAGTTGGGGCGGGAAAAGCGTCGTGAAGCTTGACACTCATGAATCGTCAACAGAGACCCAATCTCAAGAACGGCGTAGACCTCCAGCTCCAGTCTGCCTTCAACGATGGCAACTGGGCTGCTGTGATCCGTCTTGCAGAGAAGCGGGCCCGAACCTTCAACGACCAATATTATGAGGTGCGATTTGATGGGAGCTGTACTTGAGCCATCCGTAGACTGACGCGTATGAATAGATTGTGAAAATATGTGCTGAAAGCCAACTCGATGACCCTAGCTCCAAGTTCGCGGCCATAACCGCCATTGACAAGTTCGTCAGAGAAGGAACCGTTGTCAAAGATGCCGAGGCCATAGACCTCCTTGAATGGGCCAGCCAAGGCCTGAACAGTGATGAAGAATTTCCCGAGACCCTCGGACCGTTGAGGGCACGTCTCGTCAAGGCTGCGCCCAAGGACAAGATCAACGCCAGTCGCTGCTTGGAGTCATGCTTATTGCACTGGGATCTTGTCAGCGCGCAACAGGTACGGAGGGATTTACTACTGACCAGAGTTACTGGTTAACATGTTTCCAGATCGCGGCGATTTTGGACAGGACATTTCCTCAAGAGCGGAGCTTTATGTTTTGGAACATTGTGATCACACATTTATTGGCCGTTCGTGCAGCAATCTTCTGTTTCATTCCTCACTAATTCCTTTCAGACCAGCCCTCAATCCCCTCCGGAGAAGAAGAAGCTGTATGGGATGCTCGCATTGAAGCAGATCCAACGTGCTGCGCAATTGGCTGAAGAAGTAGTACCCCTTTCGTTCACAATTAGCCCCTAAACTCACAATCCTAGGCTGCGACTACCGGGGGCGAAGACACCAAACCACAGCCACGAAGTATCCAAACAGAAGAAGAGATCCTACTGTTGTACGATGTAACCGAAAAGCATGGTTCTAAAGACGACTTAGCAAAACTCGTCTCAAGTCCCGTCTTCAGCCCACTTGTTCAGTTCCGAAAGGGCAGGAAGGAGTTGATGCTCCGAACCATTGCTCGCTACCAACAAGAACAGCAATTCGAGGCTATTTTTGAGCTGTGTGAGGATTGTTTGTTAATTGAGGACGAACGTGGTCAACCGAGTCTCATGGCGGCAGACTGGAAGGTCTGGCGGCAATTCATTGAAGCTGCTGCGGAAATCAAGAATACCAAGCCAGGGTATGTAGGAACTCAACTGCAGACGAAGACCCGACTGACAAGATATAGCATCGAAGAAACTGTCCAACGGCTCTTATTGAAGTTCATCAAGTCACCAAATCTGCGACCCATCTACAAACGCATTATTCTATTGGCGCGTGTCTCGGCAGCCTTCAATCTTGCATCAAATGACGAGGACGATCTTATTGAGAACGAGCCTGCGTCATTCCGACTCAAGGAGCTGATCAGCTACTTGAAAAACCAAGGAACAAATGCTGCGTGCTTCGATGACATCAAAGCCTTTGCAGAGAGACTCAATCCATCTGCATTAAAGTACATGGCGCACGAGTTTGTTCCAAAGTTGGCTCAAGTAACAGAGGACGAGATTCAGTCGGCTAGAATAAGCAACCTTGCATTCAAGCTACAGTACTTTGCAGCCACATGCCCCTGTATGTACAGCACGATACCTGGCGAGAAGCCTCTGCGCAAGTGTCTTGTCTCTGGTGTTGAACTCGACGCTAGCTCACCGGGGCCAGCTTTCTCAACCATCGCCGAGACTGCACTCAAGGCTCACCAGTCGCTATCTGACTTGACTTCGAAAAGCTCTGCTATCGAGGCTGAGATCAGGCCGGAACTGGCTGTCATCATTGGTCTTTCCATCATCCAAACTGCATTTCCTCCGTCAACCGATATTTCGAACACTCCTGTCTCTTACGCCCCCCTCCTGCGAGCCCTACTATTGCTCGAACACCAGCTCACTTTGGCACCGAAACATAGCATTATCTCCCTCCTTCTAGTACAACTGCACCTTCGAGTTGGTTCGTCGTCTCGTGCCCGAGAAATCTGGGATACACTAGGCGTCAAGCGTACCATCATGGACTCTCTGGCCCCCATTTTCTACGACCGCCTCTCAACAATTTCACCTGCTCTTATTTCACCATCGGATGAAACCGGCTGGGAGCTCCTTGATTTGCTGAGCTCTCACTTCAACGTGTCGCTGAAGCTTAGAATGCCTAGACGATTGATAGATGCTTTCGAGTCGGGAAGCTATAGCAGTGTAATTGATATTCCCGAATACATGGAAAACCTGCGGTGGAGCTGCACACGGGCGATGAGTCTGGTCGAAGAGACTAGAACCGATCGCATCATGGGAGAACGCTTCTCGGAAGTGTTTACCGATCCTCGATTCAGTGAGTCTTTCAACCGTCTACCACTCTTGACAAGAACTAACAAAAGCAGCCGAAGTGGCCGACGATATGAAACTGGTCGAGACTGTAGACTACGGATCTTTCCCCTCATGGGACTGCAGTTCTCAACCGCCTGTCTACTCCCGTTTGCGAATTGGACCACCACCGACTGTATGTTTCCTTCTCCCTATGAAGCAAAACTAACATATTCAGAATCGTCGTGCCCATCTGTCACTCCTCTCTGAAGCATTCCATGAACTCTTGGGTTACAAGCCTCCTCCCATTTACAAGGCTTCTGCGACAGCCGCCATCCCTGACCAAATCTTTGTCCTCGAATCACTCAGTCAACTTAGCAATTCTTTCATGAAGTTCTTAAACGGTCCCAGAGGCAACCTCACTCCACAGGAGGCAACCTACTTTGAGGTCATCAGCCTACTCAGCACTCTCATTCCTTTCGCAACCGGCATCAACAGGGCCAAACCCATCCCTGAAGAGTTTTTCCAGATTGTGGACACTCTGAAGATTGCCATAGATACGCTCAAGCTAGAGCTCCTGCCTCTCGCAAATGCCTCAGAGCAAGTCACAACTCTGAGTACACTTCATTCTCTCGCCATCCTCCGCGATACTTCCGCCGCTATCAAGAACTCAGCCCAATGGGTCATCGGTTTTAATGACCGCGAAAAGGAGCGTGATCGCTCTGGGAAGAGTAACCTTCCAAAAGAGGTCATGGCACAGATCAAGGAGTTAGTGACAGCATCTGAGACTGCACTAAAGGAGGGCAAAGCCACAGTGGCGAAGATGAAAGAACAAGTATATGGAAGAGACTTTGAGCCCACGGTAAGAGCGTGGATTTTCGAAGACGCAGATGACATTCTGGGTATCGTTGGAGGGGCAGGGACGACGAAGCTCGTCAAAAGTTGGGAATTCAACGTTAAGGGATGGACTCAAGTAGTGTGGAGTTAAGATTTGCCGATTGTCGACGCACAACTGAATAGATCCATGTCCTCGAAGGAATTTAATCCTTTAGGTACCCACTCTCATGGCGCTGCACTGACCGATGCATAATAGGCTTCCATCAGTTGGAGGTTCACCATGAGCTTCGGCTGTGAGCCAGATGGGTTCGTTTCGTCAGGCTCCGGTATGAGATCAATATAAAACCTCTGCCGCAGCTCCCGCAATCTTATGCCAGTGGGATGGATGATAAAAGCCATGGGTTCGCCACTGCCAGTGTCCAATGTCGTGCCGACTGCCCTGCTTTCAAACCAAAGACCTAAAAAGCGCTAAGCGCCAACTCCTGTATGGTGATCAGGGGGCATTCCTCGAAAACCATCTGTGGCTTATCTTTAAGCATCACGGGCTTTAAAGAATCACTAGCAGCTGCAGTTGCACTATGGGCATACGTGCTTTCTCCACGGCCGATAAGACAGACTCTGGACGAGACATTCGAGACTGGAGACCATAGATAGATGAAGTACTGAAAGTCCATGTTTGTCTTGCAGGATGGCATCGGCACCGTGGTGAATTAGCGACTGCACAATGGGATCGATATCACGCCCAGTGGCATGATAAAGCGGAGTGACCCTGGTCATCTTGCGTGTTTATTTCAGCTCCACGATCCACGAGGAGTCGTCGCACCAATGGCTCCATTTCTGAATCAACCGCCAAGTGTAGTGCTGTTCGGCCTTCCTTGTCTCGCCCATTCACATCGGCCGCGTGGTCGAGCATAAATGGATGACATAACGCAAAGAGATGTTTTAGAGTATAAATGAGAAATGCGACAACCTCTCCTTTCATCTCGGAGGTAAGGCAGCGTCAGATGATCAGGAATAGAAGCCAGACATGGACGCAATACGGGCCACAGTTAGGCTCGCGATCGCTGTAGGTCGCCTGTAACAGAGATAACGTGAACACCGCTGACTTACCAACATTTTGTTAACACTAACCGATAACCCCCAAAGACCTCAAATAGCCAACACAGCAGGCATCGCTTCAGCCGCCGAAGATAGGAAATTGAACACTTGGAGGAATTGGGCTTCAAGTCGGCTTGCTATACACTAATATCTACGAGGATAAGGGAGAAAGACGATGATTGGACTGGAAAGTTCAAGGCGAGATTTCGTAATAGACTTGTATATGTGTATGTGTAACTAATTCTGCTTTGTTACCAAGCCCCATAGGTAACTCACCCACGCGCCAAGAATAAGAAAGAGAACAACAGAAAAGTTAATAATATTTAACATTCTCTGCTTCTCTGCATGGCTTCCACTTTCACTCTCTTGTCTCTTGGCGTTAATGACATGGCCATTTTTAACTCTCTTCTTGCGACTCCATTGTAACTTTCCCATATTATCCGTTGCAAAGCCAAGACCAAGCATCACACAGGCAACCAGAACGCAGCTAGCTGCAAGTACTACATAGAGAATCGTGACCCTATAGTACTTGTTGTCGTCGCGGTCTTGAAGAACGCCAGCGATAAGATTGACCATGACTTCCATGCTGTCCCTAACAGCGGATCTAATGGCAACCCCTGAACCAAAGATATCTTGGTACCACATGCTCGTACGCAGACTGTCGGTAATAAGTGTAGAGTCGTAGGAACTAGCAATCCCATAGATAATAAGGCTGGCAGCCGCACCAGCAACAGTGGGTCCCCATGCCAGGAGACACATTGACAAGAGCAATCCTAAACCGCAGATAAGCATAAGCGTAATACGTTGCCCAAACACATCGATAAAGATACCGATCAATGGGGCGAGGAAGAAACCAGAGTAGTGGGATACGGCAGAGTATATGCCAGCCTTGGAAGGTGAAATATTAAACCGCTGCTCTGCCAACTCAGTGCTATTCCTCGAAAACAAGTTCGTTAGGGGGTCCTCGAGCATCGTAAACAAGCAAACTAACCAGAAAGACCAAGGTAGTAACATGATCTTTCTAATCTGGAATTTCTTTGTGTTCTCTGTCAGTGTCTCTCCAGTGGCTGGATCTTTTATATGCGCATAACGCTTCTCACACTGCCTTGTCATCCACCAAAACAAAAAAGCCATGGTATTAGTAAAAAGGTTCATGAAAACAATCATCCAATATGCCCAGCTCAAGCCGAGATTATGAGCAATGATGTTGGCAGTGGATTTTGCAACAAAAGAACCGATTTTTCCAATACCGTGTTCGATGCCGACAGATGATGCAAAGCCAGATGAGGGCGCAAACCAAGAGGACAGGATTTTATACTGGGCAGTGCTAACTGCGACTTCGCCGAGGGATTCTATTACACTGCCAACAATCATGAATTTGAAGGACCGGACTTGAGTTGCTGATGCGACCATGATTGCGCCGAACGTATCGACTGCAGTACCACACAGCATAGTGCCTTGTAATGTTAGCCAAGTTACTTATATTAGTAGGTAAGGTAGTGCAAGATATGTGTACATACTGGCTCCACCATATCGATCGGTAAGAACACCACTGAAGAGGATAAGAGAAAGCTTAATAATATCCTTAGTGCTAGTAAGGATAGCATATTGAGTGTTTGAAATGTGAAGTTCCTGTATAACTGGGTTAGCTAGGTTTCTTGCATAAAGGCATGCTAGCTTACCTTTTTGAGGGTACTCTTCAAAGCGCCAGTAACTCCGTTGCTCCAACGGCTTCCAAAGGTATACATACTGACTATAGCAACAGCCAAGATCTTTATGCTCAAAGGCACAGGTTTCTTTGCACGGCTATCACTCCCTCCGTTTGACTGGTCAGACAGGGGAGTAATGGTGTTTGTATCGAGTTGGTTTCCATTGTCATTAGTCCCACTGTTTGACTGCTCAGGTACTGGATTAATTGTAACTGTGTTTGGTTTTTTAAACTCCATGACTTGTATAAACAAATAAGGGAGGAGATGGGATGAGATGAGATGAGATGAGATGGAAAAGATTGTCAGATTAAGAGAACGGCAGGCTATGCCTTGGAGTTAATTATTTAGGTACTTGGCTAATTCAGCTATTGCATCGATCGCCGCAACCCCCACGCATTCGGTCGCCTTGAAGAGATAGACGATACCATAGTCCTGATTTTCATACGACGTCGCTACTGACATCAGGCAACTCACACATCACGAGGCCGGTCTTGGAGGATAATCACTTCTATCACACATACCCCACATTTCACACCCAATCGTGCCCCCCGCTGTCACAACCCGCGCCGCCCGTGCCGCCCTCCCTCCCGGCCGATTAATTGTGGGCTATCTCGGCAGTTAAAATCATATCAAATCTGTCTTGTGCTAGTTAAGGTAGCTAGTATCCTCTCTCCAGTTTCGACTACATGCTCTAGTTATAGAATAGATGCTGCCTCTGTCACCCGCCCGTCTACGAGCAAGTACTGGCCTACTGACAATCTCAGTCCACATTCTCCTTTATTCTCTATGTATCTTGTAGTTCCCAATAACCTGAGCGCATGTGGTAGATATGTAGATACTGCCAGTCATGTAATGGAAATGCCTCAGCTACGCGTGCCAACATGGTCTGTCGCGCTTCTCTGCCGGACCCCTCATTCTCATTGCAACTTCTTGTCAGCACTAGGCTATGCATGTTGAATATTGCCCCACGGCCGTATTGGCTAATGAAATCATGTCTAGTGGGCGTAACAGTCGCTTGAATCGTTTGCTGTCCTGTGTTCAACCTCAGAAGAATAGAGCGAGGGATCCTTCAGTTTAACAAAAGCCATAAATGAGACAAGGTCTGCCGCTATTAGGGCAGTTCGACGCATGCATGTCCATACATTATTGAGTGCACCTGGCTGTCGCTTAATAAACTCGCCATATCCCTTCTTGCCCACTACCTCTCTATTATCCCATACAACTTTACCACGCAAGATTGTGTATCGTGGCCAAATCTTCACTGTTTTGCTTCATACGAGTGTATAGTCGTTGGCGTGGTGTAATGTTCCGTTTCGGATTGTCATATCCTGTAGCTTGTCGCCTGGGGAGGTATGCTCATGCTCTTCCTGCTCCTCTGGTAAGACGATGCCTTTTTAGCCATCATAGTACAAGAACTCTGCTCACTCTATCTCAGCAATGCCTTCCCTGCCATGTGCCAACCCTCTTGCAATGATATCGACTCGTCCAGGCGAAAATGGATTGAATGGGACTTGTAGATCCTCAACGCTCTCTTCTGTGTTACAGGTTTTGGGCTTGCTCCCTGGCGATTCCGCGATCTTTGGTTCCTGTTTCAATACTGAATGCAACGGAAGGAGATCTCCCTCCGGATCTCTTTTATCCAACTGCCATAGCCAGCTTAGGTAAAAGCCATAAAAGTCATCATATAGCTTAACTGTAGACTGTATAATCTTATAGCGTTCTGATTTACGTTGCTCTAGTTGCTTGGGTGATGGTTGTTGGGTGCAGTGTTGACTTTCCAAGTACGTATCCTATGTTGCAGTCTATCGATCTTACTGATATAAGTAGAATTACCTATATCACAGAGAACATCGAGGATCGGTAGCTTAGCTATATTCCCATCTGATAGTAAGACTGTAATATGTGTGGGAGCTGTTGGAGCTGCTCTTAGGCTAGATGGCTCTTCTCTGACCTCTCTTGCCAGATGAGGGCAATAGAAACGAGACTTTGATGCTGACAGGCTGTCATCCTAGGCGAGGCAAATGCCTCCACCTGGCTTGATGCTGTGCCTCTTCTTGAAGCTATCTTGACTGCCAAAATAGGGGATTTTCTTCCATCTTCGTTGAAGGGATTTCATGACTACCCTCCGGGTGGGCCTACAGCCGGCTTTTACCTTCAGCGAACCCTTCGGCGACCCTGCTGGGTGTCTCCTCAAGCGGAGGGCAAACCAATCCGTCACCTACAGCTCCAGAAAGGCCTTCTTCCGGTCAGTCGATCAGTCGGTCAGCCAGTTAGCTACCTGGTCGGTACTTTGTCCCCTATCTCTTACCCTAATCTGTGAATAGCTTCACTTTTGAGGAAAGACCGCATAGGTCACCGACGGGCCAATGGCTGGTCTGATCGACTGAATCTGGCCAATAGCCGAAGAGTAGATTCCTTGGCAAACTCTAATCATTTTGCCAGCACCTGGAATACCAGGGCAGAACAATGTTTATTTGTCGCCTTTTACCCAGGAATTGTATTCATCTGATTCCAGTAGCCATCCCCCAGTTCCTGGCTCTCGCCGGCTGAATATGTCGCTTTGTTGAGGGGCATAATCCATGGGTGATATCCAGGCGAGGACTTCTTTCTGGTGGACGCTCGTCTGACTGTGTTGAAGGTGCACAATCCCTTCTGCTATGTTGAGGTTGGACAGCTGTATGTCAGTCAGGATACGGTCAAGTCGAGCAACTCGTTGCTCATCCTCAGTCGCTTTAATCTTGATAAGTCTGACCAAGTCGGCTAATTGTCTGCTGTTATCGTCTGAGGTTGCCTTGATGTGCTTCACCAGTTGTCTGTGTAGGTGTAAGTTATCGATCCTCGTGATGGGCAAAATGACACCTACGTGGTTTCGTGTGTCATGGCAAAATGCAAAAGTGATCTTTCGCGCTGAAACGCATCGACGAGCTTTACCACTTCCTTCTCATCGAATAGCCATTTCAATGCGGCCTTGACCTTTTGGATCCCGCTCCCGTGGCCTGGTTGCAGCTTTGTTTTGATAGCATCGAGAATCTTATACAAGCGATACAGAGGTGCGTTATCGCTCTCCAAAGCCTTGACCTTGACCGACCACGTCTGGGCACTATCAGCCTTGGTCTGATCGGCGTCCCAATCCTCAATTTCGGGTCCGTCAGTTCCTTTGGAGTAATCGCGGAGTCGCATGAGTAGAGCCTCGCAAGCTAAAATTTCGTCAAGCAGTCGCTGTCGATCTTTTGAGGCTCCAGCAACACCGATGATGTATTTCGTAACCTCAAACGTTAGTTGCACCACTGCGATAATACTCGCAGCAGCAGAGAGGCCGTCCATGCTGCTTCAATAAGTTGGGACGCCATGGATCGATGAATCCGAGCCCTACGCTGCCTATTTAAATCACAGGTTGCTCAGCCTACTTGGTAGCGACCACAGCGTATCCGCAACAGCTCAGCTACATTCTGCATGTTCCTTTGCAAGGATGGTCAGCGGTGAGCCAATTATGTTGCTTGGAAGTGTTTCAACACCGAAATCCGTAGGAGTAAGCCATCGTAGTGGTGCCTGATGCGAGCACCCTTCATCTATTGCCAGCGAGGCAGCATTTGCCTACCATCTCTATTTCAAAACGATGGTATGATATATCGGCGTATATATTTGCGCGAAGAATGTCTCTTTTTGGCCCATCACTATCAAGCGTGTCGAACAAGGGTTCAGCTTTTTCTTGCGCAAGACCAGGATGACATCAGCATATGGCTGGTGAAATACTCCGTAGTAGCACTGTACACAGAGGAAACGACAGTACTTTTGTTGACTAACAAAATTGGTTGGTGAAAATAGTCCTAGCAATTTCCCTGTGTACATAAGGGGACCTTGTAAGAGTTACAGCTATAGTAGGTCTGCCGTACCTGTGACTGGGGCACTACTGGCCGGCCCTTAGAGCTCTGTGTGACGAGATTACCTAGCCTGAATCCTTGGAAAGCCTTACTTCTACCGTAGATATCGCCCATAACATAATTATGCGGTGAAATAGGAAGGAATTCATTCCTACTGCAAAACCGCTTGTGGAGGGTGCTTGCAGAGATATATTTCCAGATAAGGGCTCCAGTGAGGGTATCCCTCCAGTCCGCCTGTAACCTGTAAGCAGAGATACTGCAAGATCAAGCACAAGACGCTGTGTTTCTGTGAGGCTGTGAGGATATTCGCGGCGGCGACCAGGCGTTTGCGCAGCCTTAGGGACCCGATATTCCTAGCACAAAAGATGGCCTTTTTCAGCAGCTGCCAAGATCTTAAGACTAGATTTATTCGTGGCTTTCCCAAGGGATCGCCCTTTGAGTATTATGATCTCATCAACCGATAATTCGTGCCCGGAAGAAGAAGCTGCGTTGATACGGCTTGGATAAGGTCTCCCCACTCCTGAACACGCGATATCATGCGCTCGACCTCATTCTGAGGCTCGTTATTCCCAGGCTCGTCAGAGGGAGAAAAGGTCCTGATATGCCAGGAAATCAGAGAAACTTGGCTGAAGGTGATATGTTTAGTATTATGATGATTAGGGGTGATTTTCCCTGGTACAGATGTGACCCAGTAGTCAGAAGGTCGCTCACAAGGGTTGTTTCCGATGTAGATGAGTGTTGTAAGCCAAATGAAGAGGTTTGTGACCGTAAGGGGCTTCCACTGAAGAATATCTGCATTTTTTGGCTTTTGACGCGCCGGGCGCGTTCAAGATAGCCTCAACATGCGTATTAGTCCAACCCATTTCTCAACTAGAAATTCAGGGCAAAATAGGTGGAAAAGGTCGACAGGTAGATCAGGAAGCGGCATTGTGAGAGTGTCGCGAGATGCGGGTTTGAAGTCTCTCGGGCGTGATTGGGGGGCTTCTTATTTTGGCCTCTTGAGTACTCCGTATCCCACTCATGAAGCTGTTGATGAATGAGCCAATCTCTGGACCATTTTAAAGTGAACAGGGTCAACTCACTCGCCAGACTTTGTTGGCGGTTGGGCTCTCCTGTAATTGCGGGTGGGCCCCACATGTCTAAATTTAGTGGACAACCCCTAACATTTTGATCTTCGAAGATTTCTTTATCTCGGATCTGCATCCCCCCCATTCAATCGCATCTTCTTTGCTTTTGCTTGTGTTGCGTCTGCGTCGCCATCTCATACTCTTCGATTTCAAGAGTACATATTACATTTTTTTCTATACATTTTATCCGTATATCTGTACCTTCTATCTCGCACGTATACCTATCATCATCATCATCACATTTGCTATCCTAATCAGCGCCAAGCTTTGCCTAATCTCTTTAGCTGCATCTGATTGCAACAACTTCTGATCGACAAGCTCGGCTCTCGTCCTTCACACACGAGACTGCGACTTCTTGCGACCAAGCTTTGAGACAAGTTCTTCAGTACAAGCCACCGAACGAACCCTCCGCGACCTACCTTGCGAAGACGAATATCCATGCCACCGACGACGTCATATCATTTTTCTTGATCATAGATTGCGATATTTGTGACATCAGTCATGATTTCTCGAAATCGCTCCGGTCGGCGCAGAAGTGCTGCTCTAGCCTTTATCGCCATCGCTGTTCTCGTCCTCAACTACACAGGCCTCTTGTCATTGCCGTTCAGCTTCGAGGAACCCCCACAACCCGATCGCCCAGATTTTGATCTTGCACCACCATGTGCCCCAACTCTCGATCATTTACGACGCTCCTCATACGGCCTAACGAGGGACGTCATTTACCAAAAACGCTGCATCCGCCCCGTTATAGACAAGAAGCTTGATAGCCAAGTTGTGTCGCAGAACCCGGATGCCTTGATCAAGAGCGGCCAAATCGTTCAACTTGACCAGGCTTGTGAAGGATGGACCGAATCGACTTGCGAACCAGTCACTCTTAGGGTGCCTCCGCCGTACCCTCAGCAGGACTACTCTGGATTTTTGTTCGGTGTTGCGACAAATCTTGATCGATTGAATGAATCCATGTCACAATTTGAGAGTTGGCTCGGCAATACACATGCGCAATTACTTGCGATTATCACCGATCCCGGCGACGAGTCCAAGTATAAACAAGTCACTGAGCAGTTTCGTCAGCGCGGGATCGAACTCAGCATCAAGGATCCATGGAACAAGGCCATCACCTCCAACGAGCAGCACTTTGCAATCGTCCGCGATCTTCTAGCGCACGTTACCCCAAAGACACAGTGGACTGCTATAGTCGACGACGACACCTTCTTTCCTTCCCTTTATCCCATGAGTAAGATTCTAGGCAAATACGACCACAAGCTTCCAGCATATGTGGGTGGGTTGTCGGAGAATTATGATGCGGTCAAGCACCATGGCTACATGGCTTTTGGAGGAGCAGGAATCTTCCTCAGCCCGGCCCTGCTTCGCGAGCTTGACCCTCATCTGGAGGAATGCCTCAAAGTTGACCATGTGCCTCAAGGCGATGGTCTTCTCAAGCAATGCATCTACAGCAAGACCAAGACGAAGCTAACCGTTGTAAAAGGGCTTCATCAGCTGGATATGGGTGGAGATATGAGCGGTTTCTATGAGTCCGGTCGTCTGCCAATGAGTTTACATCACTGGAAGTCATGGCACCAAGCCCCTGTTGACAAGATGGTCAAGATCTCCGAATTTTGTGGAAGTTGTTTCCTGCAACGCTTCGCTTTTGGCTCCGACACTGTCTTGACAAACGGATACAGTATAGTCCAATACTCTGCAGGCTTGGAGAGCGTGGACTTGAACAAGATGGAAGGAAGCTGGGAGGGCGCTGAAGGGTTTGACTGGAGTCTGAGCCCCATGAGATCCAAGATGGATCGACGCTTGAAGAAGAGCTATCATTTAGTCGACACCGAAGTGGTTGGCAAGAATATCCGACAAATTTACATTCACCGTCTCGAGGATGACATCCCCGGCCCGGACGAGAAGTCGAAAGACCTCAAGAAGACGCCACCCAAGGTAGAGGAGATGAAGGATGAGGTGATAGAATTGTTGTGGGAATTATGATAAGACACGAGATTGGACTAGACATATTGGTGTTCCCGGTCGGGCCGGATTTGTATATACGACGAATGATACCAGATGACATATGGGACGGATAGATAGACTAGTTTCGTAGATAATAATGCTAATGAGCCTTTCCTTATCCCGGCATTAATATGAGAACAAGAGGGGTCTTCTGATCTCTACCCCAAAAGGTACCACACCCTCCATCACAGAGAGCTAATGACTGAGAGTTTATTATCAGGCTAGAGCTCCACGCGATATCGGCGTGCGGAGAACCATAGACTCCAAATAGTTAGTGACTGACTATACAAAGGGCGTTTGGAACAACATAAAAAGGGTCTTGGTTGCCGTCAAGACCCTTGATAACAGCAGCTCTCACTCAATTCCTCCTTAGCCCCAAAGATGACTTCCTTGTATCATCTAAATGGCTCTCTGCAGCCTTTTGCAAGACTACTCTTTCTTCCCGCTGCCGTTTTGATGTCAATTTGGGTCGTCACCATTACTGTGAGTTCAACCCACTTTGACTACATCATGAACTTTCGTAGTTGACCAGCAAACAATAGGCAAAGAAATGGATGCGCCATCGCAGACAGCACTTGCAAGCTGCCAAGGCTGAGATAGTACTGCCTGAAAAAGTGCTAGCCATTGAGCCTTTACATGACTTTGACTGGAAGACTGCACCCAAGCGTCAGTTACGGCCATTTAAACCAACATATCACATAACGATGGGTATGGTCTCTTCACAGGACAAGAACGTCCTTTTTTCTGACTGTGATCGCAGCTATTCGAGCAGATACGCCATCAGAACTCATCACAATTGACGAAGACTACCTCGACCGCGTTACACATCGACGAAGCATTATTGCCACTCATGGATCTACCGTTCATGGCTGCACCCCAGAAGGTGATGCCGCTGTGCGCGAGCTTTACACCTATCTCCTATCTGAACAGCTCCCCAAGCGCTTCCCGACCATCTTCAAACTCTCCAAGGACAACTCCATGTGCGAGAATCTCGCTACGGGAATGTCCTTCCCCACGCTGCCCGAAGGCAACATGGATGCGGCGCTGCGCGTACTCGGCGAGACTGTCGAAGAAGATCTCTTCTTGTTGCAGGAGACCCCAGAAGGCCACCGCTCGGTTGCATTCATGTGTTGTTTTCCATCGGGATTCGATCCCTCGTCTAAGCTTGGTAAAACACTTGTGGAGATCCATGCACCTGTGCCGTCGTATGAGAAGATCGGTTCTAGTATGGAGAAGTTCTTTACAAAGCTGGAAGTAGGAAAGAGTGTCAAACGAACAAACGTGAGGAGTCTCCAAAGCCAACGCGCCGAATTGATGCTGATAAGTTACAGTGGTCCGTCCAAACTCATACAGAGCTGTTCAACTGCCAGGGCAACCACATAACTGGCGATGACAAGTACGAGAATGACGAAGATGTCGATATTGAAAAGGTAGGACGCTGCCCCTTGATCATAGTTCCTCACTAACACATGTGCCCAGACTTTCCTTCGCATAGAGCTCCAAACCCTGACTCGTCTACCCAAGACACGAGCAATCCTTTTCTCTTTCAAGACTTATCTCTACCCTGTCCGTCAGGTCAAAGACGAGGGCCTCGGGCCTGCTTTTGCCGATGCTATTGAGGGACTTGCCAAGGGCAATGCTCCCGGCATGTGGACATACAAGAGCGCGGTACGATGGGGAAGCAGTGTAATTACTTATTTGAGATCATGAGAGGAGGCAGCTGAAGGGTCGATGAGTTGGATGCCCCATGGACTGCCGGTGTGTGGGCTCTATGTGACTCATTAATGCCAAGAGAACGCTGAATCAATCAAGACTAAGACATTTTTATTCTGTGTCGTTTCTCCAACCCCCCACTTTCATGACTGTACTTTGACGTTCATGATAGCATGTACTTTACTGGAAGAAAAAAGGTCAAAATTCATGATTGCTCCAAGATCATAGGATGGTCTCGTACTAAGTAGTTCTGGCTAGAGATGTGTTGTTTGATGAAGCCAATTTTTCTTCTCTGCATCGGGGCTTTGTATTACCAGCATAAGGCTTCTGAGGAAAATACTTTGTTCTTCCCTTGTAGACTTTTCTGCGTATAGATATTTCGATAGGCCAAGATATGTGTTGTTCTCTATCAGATAAACATTCTCAACCGGCCCGGTGTTTCACTTACTAGACCTTGGTTTATCAAGTCTAGAACGTTATCATCGTCGAGTGTGTCTACCCCGCGGATAACCTTCTCGAACTTGGTTTGCAGAATGTGGGGTGGATCGTATCGATCTCGGTGCTCTCTTTTTAGCTACCATATGAGGTAAAGTTAACCCACTTCAATCATCTCGACTACTTCTTCTTTAGAAGTGCCTAGAACATATCTTCCATAGTTCCATACACATATCGAACCATCAACAATGACTACCTGCTCCAGCTCCAAGTGACAACACAGCTACGTGAACTCGTAGACCATGGCTGCTCTATTTAGTGGTTCCCGTGGAGAAAAACAATCTTGAACCTTCCGTTGTGGGACATGATCGTCGCGGTGTAGCTCTTGTCGATAGATACCTTCTGCTTGTCCAGTTGTCGTTTCGTGAATTCTCTCGTTGCTTCGTCGTATCCATCCTTGTCAGTTGGCTTCAGCGCCATGCCTCCGCTGTCCTTTTTCATCCTGCATTCTTTGGGGGCTCGAGGTATAATATCTTCGGTGAAGCCCATGGGAGGGGTGTTAGGGTCTTCTGATTGTAAGAGGATGGGCCCGTCATTGCCTGCGTAGTGTCAGCTTCCTCGATCAATTGCTTGGTGTGGTATTTGACCTTCAATGACAGACACCCCACCGTACACGAATGGATAGCTCTGCCAGTTCACCTCTGCCCATGTGCCGAGATTGTGCTCGCCGCCATCAAAATCGATATCGTTACCACGGACGAGTCTTCCGGAGAATGTTGAGCACCATGTTGTCAAGTCAACAAATACAGTTGTGTTGGAAGGAACCTTGAAGACAGTTAGTTGAAAGCCTTACTTGTAAGTGAATCATGGGCTGGCAACATACCTTCATCGCGCGATACGGCTTCGCGTCTATTCCGTTTTGATACACCATGAACCAGCGAGGAGTTTCGTCACCATAAGTAGTTTCAAGGGTGATACCTGGTTGACCAAGGTCCATGTCGCCAAGGAAAGGATCTATGAATTCAGATCAGATCAGATCATCAACACAATTGCGTCTTTGAGGGCTTGTCGTACCTTGGATGAGTGTATAGTTACTCTTATCCGGCTCACCGCAGAAGTCCAAGGTCTGCGCTGCGGTGCCCTCGATAGGTGCCGCACATACAGCCAGGGCAAAAAGGAGAAGGCAAATGCGTATCATACTTGCAAATTTCTCCTTCCACTATCCCTTCAGTGGGAAAACTTCAGAAAGAGGTTCGTAACGAACGAAAACAGCGAACAATTTTTTATGCATTAAATTAACGGGTTGCTTTCGCACGACACGAGACATCTTTCATGGATGTTACTGTCTCTTTCCTTCCTCATGAGTGCTCGTGGGGTGGTGTTCGACAAACCAAGAAGGTTGTTTGGGAAAGTGTCATTTGCACCTTCTCTCCAGTTCCTTTCATGAGCGGGAGGAAGCATGTCGCTCGCCTTTCAAATCCCATTTCATAGGAACACAAATGCAGGCACCCCGTAGTTTGTCTCGCTTCAAGCTAGATGAATGTTTCTGCTGCTTTTTTTAACATTCGATCCATAAGGAGTTTTCGGAGCATTCTCCGACTTCCTCATTTGGTGATCCTGTGATGCATGGAGACCTGCCATTGGCTGTACTTTATCATGGACTCGCGGTACTTGATCTCGTCTTTCTATTTGACAGCATTTTGTGCAGGCAGAGAAATATAAAGACAATTCACTCAAATGGTCAGATTCTTGGTACATTAGAAACTTAAGTGTGAATGGTAAACATATTGCTACCTGTTGTTTGGCTCTATTTGCGAGGCTCGTTAATGCGACTATGTACATGTCCCGCATCCTTTTCACTCGTTTGACAGCTCCAAAGGCCTTTTCCATTATAATCAGGGATCAAATATCGTACAATGGCACAGTTCGTAACATTTCATGTTCGAGCTATCAATACCATAGCCTTATGTCTTGTTGTGCCTGGTTGGGTTTGTGCTGATGACAAATGTTCATGGGATGCACTAACATCCATGTTCCTGAGTCATCCATGCTCACCCTGCCCACCTCAGGAATTCGATATGCAGACTGTCAGAATCCAACATACAACAACCATCACATTCTCATACTAAAACATATCGATTGCTTTCAGTATCTCAATGTTCACCACTTTTGACATAACAACTTCGAACTCCCTGTCGAGCGGGAAACCTCCTTCTCCACCAACCTCACAACCCCGCCCCAAGAGGGCTCAAGTCTCGCGCGCCTGTGACTGGTGTCGCTTGACCCGAGTGAAATGCGATTCTACCCGACCTTGTCGGAATTGCAAACAAGCCAATAGAGAATGTGTAAACTCAGGTCGCGATGATTTCAAGAGTGTTGCCGCAGCTACGAGGTGAGTCGAACCTGAATCTGTCGAAGGGCGTAAAGCTGACAATGACACAGAGAGGTTCAACGGCTGAGAAGTCAGGTGCAGCAGCTTGAGAATAAGCTCTTAAGTCCATCTCCGTCGCCCCAGAATATTGAGGCTGTGGGTAAACGTTCATTAAGGTGGAAAGGGGTCCGAGTGAATGGCATTCAGTACGGTCCATCCTCGCTGGCTTACTTCACTCATCGATTATCAACTTTCACCAAATCGAGCTTTGACACAAATGTCTTGTCAAGTCCAAAGTTACCAGCTCCTCCAACTCCGCTCGACTGTAACCGACTGCAGCGTGAACAGCAAGACGCTCTCCTCGACCTTTACTGGCAGGGCTATCATGCGATTTATCCAGTGATCGAGGAGGCTGCTTTTCGACAACATTATGACTCGCTCTGGAGTGACAATACGAAAAGACAGGCAAGCCCTCTGGTAGACATTGTGATCGCCTTATGCATTCAGTTCGGCTCCTCATACACAACCTGTGACAATGTCATTGTGCCTGATCAACCTGGTTTCGATTTCTACCTACAGGCTCAGCAGGCGCTGGTTCAAGATTTGGATTCCCCGTCTCTACATTCGGCACAATGTTATTTTCTCAGCGCAATATACCTGCTGGCTTTGAATAAAGAAAACTCGGCCTACATCATGATTCGATCTGCTGTAGCTGCAGCAGAATCAATTGGCCTACAATTCGATGGCGACAATGAGACCCAAGGCAGTGAGGTTTCAACTTGCGCAAAAACAGGCTCGCGCTTATGGAGATGCCTCGTCACATTAGACACACAGGTTTCTCTACATTTGGGCCACCCCTTCGCCATTTCAGAGCCCCATCTGTATGAGCGAGAACATCCAGAGTCTGACAGTATCGCTCAACTTGCCGGTCCAAATTTCACCCTTTCACAGTCTTCGGGCATCAACTGGCTTCGCTTTCAGCATGAGAGACAAGGCCTCTTCCTGGTCGTTCGTGAGATTCACATTGAATTCGCGAGGGTTATGGAGGATGTTCTCTCAGAGATTGATCAACCCGACTTTTATCAGGACCCTTCATCACGAGAGAAGTGCGCAAAGTATCTCTATGAACAGCTCAAGCGTCTCAAGACATGGGTTGAGGAACTACCAGGGAGTCTAAAAACACCACGGGTGCAAGGTGTGCCCTTCTCAGTCGATCGCTCGCCGCTGGATCTCAGCCAGAGCGATCCCCTTTGGCTTCAGAGACAACGGCTAGTGCTGGAATTTGACTACCATTCCTTGGTCATTATGCTCACTCGAACATTCAACTCATTTCTACGAACACCGGCACTCGGCACTTTCAATAGTGATAACCACTGCATTACTTGTGTGAACTCTGGGATCATGATGACAAATATGCTAAACCAGATCAGCAGGGATTCCGGTATTCTGGCTGGATGCTTTCAAGTGTTTGACTGGCAGCGAACCGCCACATTTGCTTTAGCTGGCTTCTCTTGCGGTTATCCCATCTGTCCAATGTCCCCAACAGCGCGGAAGACGTTGACACTAGCTGCACGGGTTTTTGAGACATTCGGATCCAGAGCAGGTGTGCAGTTGACCAACAGCCTCAAGATCAAATGTCTAGAACTGGTGGAAGCATTCAGAGCGAGGCTTGGTCTCACTACACCCGCGACAACACCAGTCAGTAATCAGAAAAGCCCAGAGACGTTGGATGCTGTGGCGGAGCCGAGTAGCTACCAGATTATGAGTGTTGGTGAGGAAGCTTTATACAATGCAGGTTTTGATGCGATACTTAGTGAGGATATGTGGACTGTCGACACACCAGGTGGACTGCTCTGGGGTGACTTGTTGAAAGATTTGGATTCAGGCCTAGTTTCATCTCTTGGACAGGTTGGAGTTGACGATTGATATCGCCATCATACTAAATAATGCCTTAGCCTTTCGAAGTGTTCCAGTCAGCATCGTTTCCAGTGTTATCAGAGAACTCTAATCAGAACAAGTAGTCCAGCTCAGAGGCCTAGTTAACTCATCATCTTCAGACGCAGCCAGTCGTGAACCGAGACCGCTGGAGTGGACCCAGAGAGCTGGGAAAACACCACCAAAGACAAAAAGGCATACCCCACGTGACCTCGATGAAAAAACACAATAGGAAGGGCCAATGTGGATGAAGCACGCTTCCTCCCGTCTCAGGTCTCAAACCTTACCCGTTTGGGTTGGTGACCTAACGCTACGCAAGGTTCATTGGCCAAACCCCTGGTCACCAGCCACGGCAACGAGAGCCTCAGCAGCCTCATCGGACTGAGATCGGTGGCTTGCTTGCTTTCCATGACTTCCAAGGTTGCGGGTGAACATTAACTTCATCCATACACAACAAATTGACGTAAGCCCGCGATAGCTTCATTAAGCCTATCCAAATATCACTTTTTTTCTAGAAACCCCTTATTTCCCATTCACTTCGTTGTAAGCTACATTCACCTTGGCTACTCTATCGATTTACTTCACTGTTCATCGTTTCATGCCGCGGTTCGTCCACTGCAATCGACCGACCGCGGGACCTGGGCGACCAACCATCACGCATATTTGACCGCGTTGGCTCAAGGAAACAATCGTCTCATCACCGAGAGCACACACGCGCAATCAATTTGGGACATGCTTTGATACAGGCAACCCAAGGCGCATTCTTCACCATTGCCGCGATCGCATTCCATCATCCTTCTTCACAGACGGACGGCTGCAGGTGTCGCTGTTTGTGTGCGCATAACCCCCCGCCGTTTGGAACCCTCTCTCGTCTTGTAGCTTCCACCGAGCCGCTTCTCCTGCCGACCTTTTTTTGTACAACTCTACACAGCTGAGCGGTCGTGCTGCGAACAACATCATCATCATGAGCGTCCCTTGTAAGTTGCCCTGCCACCCCTTGGCACAGACCCCTTCATCGCGACTCTGAACCTTGAATAACACAATATACCGATAGTGACTACCGAAGAGCTCGAGCGCTATACCGCTATCATTGACGACATCCTTGAGACGTCCGACCTGGAGACCATCTCACGAAAGAAGATCCGGCAGGGGTTAGAGAACAAGCTCGGCGGCCAGGATCTGAGCGAGCAGAAGGTATGCCGACAAACAAGACAAGCATTGCCGCGCCGCTCTATTTGGCATTGGCCTATTTTTCCCCCCTGCTGACTTACTAGAACGCCATCAAACGACTTATCGAAGCTCGGTTCGACGCCGTATCCGGAGCCAACAACGGAATCGAACCCCCCTCCACTGTCGACTATGCGGCCAACGGTACATCCGATGTAGGCGAAACCGAGCAATCCGCCACCCCGGAACCTTCACGAAAGAAGGTTAAGCGATCGTCGTCGGCTGAAGATGCGGACGCCAAGTTGGCGGCCCAACTACAGGCACAGGAAAACAGCTTGGCCAGAGGGCGCAAGACTCGAGGGGGCGACAAGGCAAAACCTACCAAGAAGAAGGCGGCGCCACGCAAGAAAAGTGCGAAGAAGGTCAAAGCCGACGATGATAGCGACCTCGAACCAGCTGATGGTGAGGTTGGCAAGAAGAGAAAGGCTGGTGGTGGTTTCCAGAAACCATTCAACTTGAGCGAAACCCTCTCTGAGCTTGTTGGCGAGACGCAGGTATGTGAATCATTTCTTTATGTACTACACACAGCTTTGTCCTAGATCTCTTGCGAGGTTGGGCCATGGCTTTGTCTATTCAGCCTATGTCTTTGCGGGACCAGGTTATTGTCTGAAAGGGCTGGATGCATCTTCTATCCTGATTCGGACTATGTGCTCTATGTCTTACAA